CGGGTCGACGCGGTCCGACCCGCGCGGACGCGGTGTTTCGAATCTTTGCTGAGCTCTGGTGTTTTCTGGTCTTTCCGGGACTTGTATTTTCCACCGTTTTGCGTGTTTGCCCGTTTTGGCCGACCCGCGCGAGCGCAGGTCGGCGCGGTCCGACCCGCGCGAGCGCGCTGGGATCTTTGGCTTTTTTGCTGAACTGGTGTTTTCTGACTTTTTGGGACTTATATTTTCCACCGTTTTGCGTGTTTGCCCGTTTTGTTAACTTGCACACTTCGTTGTGGGATTGATTGTCGAACGTGCTTTATACGCGCGTGTTGATTGATGCACGCGTGTTGACCGACGCGCACGAACTGATTGACCCGCGCGTGTTGATTGACGCACGCGAGCTGATTGGTGCGCGCGAGCTGACTGTTGAGCGCGCAGGCTACTTGATTCGCCGTTTCGCTTCAGGCGCTTGTCGGCGTCGGATAATCCTCTTAGACTCGGATAATGACGTTCGTCGTCTTCTCTCAGTCTTGAGCTGTGTGTGAATACCTATAGGCATTTTTAGACGCCTACATGGATTCAGATTATGCTGGAGATCTTGACAAGTACCGGTCTACTTCAGGTTATGCTTTTACATTGACAGGTGCACCTGTATGTTGGTGATATACACTTCAGTCCACAGTGGCTCTCTCTACTACAGAGGCGAAGTATATGACGGTGACTGAAGCTGTGAAGGAGGCTTTGTGGTTGCGTGGACTATTAGATGACTTGGGGATTGCACAAGAGACCATTCGGGTATATTGTGATAGCATGTCGGCTATCTATTTGACGAAGAACCAGGTTTATCATACGCGCACGAAACACATCGATGTCAGATTCTACTTTGTTCGTGACGTTTTGGATGATGAAGACGTCATATTGGAGAAGGTCCAGACGAACGACAACCCTGCAGATATGTTGACCAAAGTTGTTTCAGGAGTAAAATTTGGTCATTGTTTGAAGCTTTTGAACATTCTTCAGTATTAAGGCCTTTGGAGGCCATTTGGGTGAACTACGTTCGGCTTGATTCCTTGGGTAAGATGATACGTAGGCAGTCTTTCAGATACAGACGGTTTGATCTGTTGATTCAGATGGGGGGAGATTACGTTTCAGCTCTAGTTTGGTTCCCGAACTTATTGAGGGACTATTGGATGATTTGGTGTCGGCTTAGTTTTGATAGAAACATTCGCCGAGGTGGAGAATTGAAGAAATGACGAGAGAGTGCAGGAAAACAACAGAAGAATCAGCCAGGCAGACTGGTGGTCGACCGCGAGTCAGCGGCGGTCGACCGCGAACGTGCACAAAGGCCACTAGGACTCGGAGCTGAAGGCGTTCGACCGTGGCGGTCGACCGCGAGGACCCTGTAGGTGATTTTTGGTCTCGGGATGAGATTCGGTCGACCGTCGCGGTCGACCGCGTCATGACTGTAATCAATTCTGCTCTCGGGTTTTTGGTTCGGTCGACCACCGCGGTCGACCGCGATACCTGCGCGGTCGACCGCAGGCTGTTTGGGTTGGGCCTTTTGGTTTTTGACCCGGTTCGTTTTGGAGCTGATATATAACTCTAATTGTAATTAGTTAGGGTTAAGGAAGGACGATTTTGAGCAGTCTTTGAGAAAGGATTGTTGCATCCAATTGTGGGGAAATTGTGAGAGGTGTAGAGCTTTGTTTTAGGGTTTGATCGGTGAGATTTGTAACTCTATTTGTATTCTCTTGATTTCTAATAGTAAGAACTCCCCCTCCTTGCTCCGTGGACGCAACTTGCCGAAGCACGCAAGTCGTTTGTTCTTGCTATGATTATGATTTGCTTATTGGTTGTGGTTTATCTCGAGTTATTGTTCGTGATTATGATTTGCTTATTGGTTGTGGTTTATCTCGAGTTATTGTTCGTGTCGCTCCGATAAGCTTCCGCCGCGCACAACAGTTTGTACAAGTCCGTATTCCTATGCTTACATTTCCCTTCTCTGGAATAGCTTAATCCAATCAAAGATCACTTCTCCTCTACCAAAGAACTCCAAGCTAAAGAAGAAAGATATATTACTGCACATAGATGTGCACTTCCTTCAGAAATTTGTCACGCCTATACGCAATAAAACTGTTAATTAAAGATTCAAGTAATTGTTGGTGTTTTTGGTTGTCAAGGAATGGTTGCTTGAAACCTAAGTTGAAAATATCTTCATTGTCAAGAGAGAAACTTCACATGGGTATAAACTAATCACCGCCGATTTAGATGAATGCTCTTGTAATATTTATGTCCGCCCACCCACCCGCTCTAGCAAGCATTTAAACTTACTTGAAATAAAGACGTAGCAAAATGTGAAAGACAGAACACCCCCCTACTCCCCAATATAACGCAAGCAAAATAACAAACAAAGATGTACTTCAATAAAAGAATGTGTCTATACTGAAAAATGTAGAGTGAATTTCACAAAACCTCCAAGAAGCTTGGCCCATTTTGAGATAGCCCCCCAAAAAGTCTGGAAATGTCACTTCACCCCCCCAAAACTTCAGCATTTTTCTGAATCTGTTTTCTAAAATAACCCCCCAACTTTTAAGGTCATCTCGAAATAGGCCAAACTTATCGGGGGCTTGCGAAATTTACCCATCCTTGGTCACATATTCCAACTTATCATTTGTTAGTACTTAAGAAACTAAGGAGAACATACCTAGTGCTTGCTCTGGTGTAGAAACCAGCATTAATACATGACCCGCCACCCAAAACACGGGCACGGGCATTGATGACGCCGTCGGTGGAGATAAATGGCTGTGAAGGGGAACTAGGGGAGGTGTCAGCCAAGGAGATATGGAAATTTTGCATACGAGAAATGTTGAGATTGCCATAAGGTGATCCTCCCCTTTCTAGCAGCAGCACACTGTAATTTTGAGAAAGAGTAGCAGCTAAAGGACACCCGGCTGTGCCCCCTCCTACTATAATGTAGTCATAGCGAACTTGAGGTAGTTCTGATGAGAAGCTGCTGGCCTTCCTTAAATATGGTTCCCTGAACTTGGTAAACTTGCTCCCTGCAAAAATATTTTACACAAGTTTGGTGTCAAATCCCGCGAAATTAGTTCGTTGAATGGGTAATTATAAGCTTAGATTTCTCAAGAAGCCAGCTTATGGGCTGTTTAAAGAAAGAAATTCTCAAAGTTTAATGGGTGGAGCTTCGATTTTGCAGGCAAAGGGTCACGTAAGGGTAAGAAATGAAATTTGGAGCGTGGCAAAGAAACCCACTTTCACAAGAATGTAGGGATCTTGCACAAGTAACTAAAGGATGTACATGAAGTCAGAATAAAGGGGACTGGTTACCCATACCTTCATAGTTTGAGCCCATACACAAATTTTTACAAAACGATGCCCAGACTTGTTTAACGTAAATGGAAAAGAGAAGAATACCTTGAGCTGATCCCGGTATGCTGAGGGTCATTAGAATGCTGAGGATTAGCTTCCACAGAGCCATGGGGCCAAAATGAAACTGAGCTCAATATCTCAGCAGCGTTCCTTAATTTTCTCTCTGTCTGTCTCTCTCTCACCCAACTCTTTACTCCCTCTAACACAGCCCAGCATCAAGAATACATATATAGAAGAAGGAGCGGAAATTTATGAGGGTAAATAATAGAGATTTCGGTGTTTTTTAAGGAAAACAGCTCATCAACTGTGTTGGCATTTAATGAAACATGAATGCAGTGTAATGGTAGGCCAGTATCAGTAGGGGAAGTCCAGAAGGCAACGTACGCACATTAACATAATCTCCTCGTGGTAGGCTTCTAATCACCAATCTACACAAATTTCCTGTGCCACTTTAAGAATCCTTAATAAGCATGATAAGGACTTGAAATCAGGATCAATCAACATCTATCCCTAGCCTTCCCTAATCTTCTTTAGGCCTGGATCTACCTTTTGCTTCTCTCTTATGATGGCATTTATGTTTGTTAACAAAAGCTAGACGTTGGTTGCATCTAGATATGATTTAGTCCTGCAATATGCTAGATCTCCAAAAAAATCTATTGAAATTCATTTCTGAGGAATGTTTCCGTCAGAATCTAGTTTATAAAATGGTATAATCTACGTATATCTATATCTATACTACCCTATAAAAAAAACATTGCGAGGGTAGGCAAAAGCGGAGAAATGACTAATTATTGCTTCAGTCTGTCGAAGGATAGAGGGTCATTTTAGTAAAGGATGAGGGTAATTTGGTCATTTGTTAATATCTTATTTTTGTAGGTTTCATCTCTTCCTCCCTCCCTTTTCTCTAGAAGGTTGCATTACTTTTATATTTCAATTCCTCCTCCTCTATTTTAAATTTAAATTTCATTCCTCTCTTTCCAAAATGTTCCATTACTTCAACTTCTCCTTCTCCTTATATTTAAAATTACATACATGACCTTTTTAAAAATCATATAATTTAAAGAAATCAAAATGCAACATGTACAATATAAGCCAGGTAGTGGCACATTATAAATGATCATCAATAAACTATTACATGAATTTTAAGCCCAAATTTCTATTAAGAGAAATTGAGCACTATCAAGTTCTTCAATGAAACGGATAATCAATATGATGTGACTGTTTTTCATATATTATGCTACTTACAAAAGTAGGAACAAGATGGAAGAAGCATCCTTAAGATAATTAACATGCATAAGACCAAGAATTGTTTAGATAGAAGTTTAATATTACTTGTACGTGCATAATTTGCACGTACCAATATTTTCTCTCTCTTTTTTAATACTAGTTTATATGCACGTGCAATGCACGTGGTAAAATATTAAAATGTTTTTCCTTTATATTTATTTCATTACTTTAAATAAGTTAGATTCATCTTGAGTTTCAAATATATAAAATTGAATTATTTGATTTATTTGTATTTTATTGGAATATATTAATATTAATAAAAATAAATGTATTGGTTTTTTAAGATAAACTGGAATGAATATACCTAACTGGGATATTGTAATTATCATTATAAACTATAGTTATAGCAATAATATTTTCTTACATTAAACATGAGACCTAACACATAGGTGTATTATACTTTTCTAAATGTATAATGCGTTAAACGTGTTCTTGGTATATATTAGGGGAAAAAATAGAGGGTGCTATAATTAAATAGTAAAGAAATTTCCGGATATCAAAGTAAGGGGGAGAAATAAAATAAAATGCTAAACTAAGAAATAGTTCATCACAATAATACCAAAGATAATATTCAACACATTGGTAACTTGATGAAGGGACTACTAATATATCATAAATGCAGGATCATAAAACTTATTAAGATAAAATTCAGTAGTTGTGAGCATATATAAAAACCCAAAAAGAAAAAAAACGTTAAAAAAATCAATAGGAAGAATGCCAATAAGTGCAATTTATAGAACTAAACTTCACTGAACAATCTCCAACAAAAAATGAACAAATTTCCAAAGAATAATGTGCAACATAATTATCTCTACCTAAGGATACTGATCAAGTTTCCTTAACCACATAACACCGAATCAATCCTATTCTATCCCCAATTTAAAAAACCTTTAAGAATTCACACAAAGAAAAAATCCACAAATTTTACCCAGCAGCACTAAATTTTAATAAACGAACTCCTAGCAAAAGTATTCAAAATTATCTCGAGTTATATTAAATGATTAACAATATTCTGACCACAGCACACTAAAACAATCCAATCCTTCAAAGAAATGAATAAGATAATATTCAACACAATGGTAACTTGATGAAGGGACCACAAACATATTATAAATGCATGATCATATCCTTAGACAATAATTAATGATAAGAAACAGTTAAATATGTATGTGTAATTTTATGTGATGAAAGCAATCACATAAGCATACAAAAATAATAATAAGTTTGCATGAAAATCCCTTATAAATTTTTTTTTACCAATTCATAATATGAATGTGTAATTTTATGTTCAACTCCCCACAAGGTCCGTGTATCATATGGTTTTTTTACCAATTCATAGAGGATCGGGTGTTTGGATTGGTCTGAAATTTCTGCAGATACATACTTATCATACTGATCTGATAATGTGATCTTGTGATCTCCAATAAGAATTATTAAGATATGTGCATATGGTAGACCTCTTTTTTGAAACTCAATCACGTGAACATGTGCGGCAACTTTTCCAAATATCTCCTTTTTAAAGAGTTAATCTTTCAAGTCTTGGAGCTTTGCTCGAAATATCCTTGAGGTCAGATATGGCCTGTTATTATGGGTCTGACCTGGATGTAGTTGCTCAGTGATCTCTTCCCATTCTGGATTACATATCATTGTTATAAAAAGATCTGGCTTTCCAAAGTGTTGTACTAATGACATTGCATCAATGTATCTACGACACATATCTCTAGGACCACCTATGAATGATGATGGAAGCATTATTCTCTTGCCCACTTGGCATGCATTTGCTTCCCATGCAGCTACACTGTCAACAATGCCTTGGAATAACTCTGCTCTAATTTCTGTTTGTTTATTTCTAAATTAATTAAGTCTTGTTGTTTCAAGCTTTATGAACATATCAACAGCATATTGATGGAATAAATGACCAGCTGATGTAAGTAAAATAGATTGTCGAGAGTCTCTTATCTGGAGCTTATGATAATAATAATCTCGGCATGAGACTTTTCCGAGTTTTGGTACCTTGACGCCTGTAAATTTGGACGTTAAGCTATGGTCATATATAATAATATTACTAAGAATTGTGAATTTAAATTTACCTTCACTTTCTCTATTAAATATGTCTTCTGCAGATGCGAAGGTTGGTGGGACTACTGAAGTCGGTATTATAGTTCTTTGTTGATTGTCAGCTCCGATATCCCTTTTATCCATTCTTTTAATATTTTGATGTCATCCAACCTCTCCATTTGGAAAGAGTAAAGGATACTACAGCGGATCATAACAGCCAAAGTAGCGTTTCACTTGATGTCTTCCTCCTGAGTGTGCATGGACAACTATCTCTCTCAAATGGTGCATTGTCATTATTTTCTTCAACCCAGATTGTAGCCACCTGATCTGCTGTTGGTGAGTTATAAACACATTGATCTAGTGCAACGTGACCATTTATTAGTATCTTAAATATTTCAAAAGATTGATAATCATTCAATTTGCGAAGAAACTTTGATTATGGGTTTTCTTTCAATATATCCATCAAGCTCTTAGTTGTGATTTCACTCATATTTGCATTGTCTAGTATTCCCAAACGGTTTTGCAACTCATTCTCTGTATTATAAAAGTAAAGCTGAAAGTATGAAAGCTTATTTTCCTTTAGAATTAGAGCAGTGAGATTATGATATATTTGGCCTTGTGCTCTAAATGTGAAAACTCCTTTTCTATTTGATGCTAGCTCTTTATCAAATCTGGCCCCAAATGATGTGAATGAGAAAATACTGTTATACATTCTGGTATGGTTTCGAAACTCAATTACCTCTGGTGATTGCATTGTATAAAGGACATATAATTTATTTGGAATATTCACATCTGCTAGGTGGATTTTACCGTTGTGACAGCAAAATATTGGAGGCTCGTGTTCATACTTTTTGGATCCACAAAAGACACAAGACTTTGGAGTGTGTAGCTTATATAGTAAAGAACATACCGGTTCATGAAGTATTTGTCCTAGCACAAAATATAAATATTTAATAATCTAATTTATAAATTTATATGGCCCATTTAATAAACTATAACAAGTATATCTAAACTACCTTCAAAGTCATAAGCATGTAAGTACGGTCACAAATAGATTCAACTTACTTGTCGTTTGCACTTAATAGTATTACCAGCAAAGTCATTACTTTGTCGGTTTCTCTTTATTATCCGGCGACTTGTCCTGAATGTAATCTTTCTTCTGCTCATCACTCAACCGAGAATATTTGGTTTTTTAATTCTACGGATGAGTGTTCTCTCCTGTTTACAAAATGTTCATCATGGCCTTATAATACACAGCACACACACACCACACACACACACACACACACCCACCACACACACTATATATAATATAATATAAATATATATATTATATATATATATATATATATATATATATATATTATATATATATATATAATAATATATATACTATGGATAATGGGTATCCTTGATCATAGGAGGGGATTTCCCTCTCTGACGCTCTAAAATCAACATGATTAAGTGACATTGTGGCTGATCCGTCC